GTAATGGTGAGGAGTTCCAATCAGTTGACGGTCTTAATGACCCTGGCAGTTGATAGGCCTAAAGCCCAAATAACCAACTGGTAGCATTGCAAAGCGACCTAATGATCCAATAGGGTCGATGGTCTAAAAATATATCTCCCCCTAAAAATAATTGTAGCGCACATCCGCACATTATTTTGATACTGGTGCACATGAAAAAATTCATTCCGCACATGGACTGAAAAATTTAGAGGGAACGTTGCTTGTGACACTTATAACGCACCCACAGCTGAAAGTGTGGCCACATGTATGACATTGTACTTCAGACATAACAGTTTATATAATATAAAAAACAACTTTTTTAAAGTTAAAAGAAAAAGTAATGACAATATCAAACAAGATAATGTATAATATTCTTCTTAATCTTTCATTGTCATTAGTTCAACATACCCCCAGTGGTTCAGCGGTAAGCCTGAATCCTTATAATTAAAAATCGGGTTTCGATACATATGGTGAACACAGCACAGATAGTCTATTGTGTTGCTTTGTTCTTAACAACAAACAAATAGTTCAACGCTTTTACGAAAAACAGTAAACGATTTATTTTGTATTTTATGCTTTTTAAAAAACTACCCAAATAGGAAAATATTAGCTGAGCTTGATACAAAGTTCTTCGCTTTAGTGATGGGAAAACATTTTGTATTCCATTGCTATAAGAAGCCTACTGTACTTCCTTGGCTTGTTTTCCCTAATAGTACCGATGAGCCTTGAATTTGGAGAAACTAGTCTACTTCATAAGGAATAGAAGAATAGCAAAACAAAGAACATATTATGCTTCTACGTCATTCATAGATTGTTTCTTAACTTCACCGAAGTTACACATTTTGGCGAGGAAAAGAAAAATACACAATTAATTTACTAGGAAAATGTTTACTTCTTATTAATCAATAATTTTTAATTCTTATACAAATACAAAAATATATAATACAATAAGACATTTAAAGCACTGCCATCTGCAGAATTATTATTATTAGTTAGATTAAATATATTGATTTGTTTTCAAAATCTTATATCTTTTATAAACAATTAACCCAATCAGAAAATGTTTAAAATAAAACACAAAAGGCCAAAAATTGTCATCCAAAGTCAAGATCAGTACAATAATACATGGATCTTCTTAATTGTCCAAATATACATATCAAGTAAATCATTAATGTTACAGAATATTAATGAGTTTCTATGAAAAACAAACAAACAAATAATCACAGATGCATTTTGTTGCTAAAGGAAAAAGGTTTTATTTTTCTAAGAATCAAAAGGGATGATTTTATTAGAAAAGAAAACTTGAATTTATAAAATTAAACAAAACTGAGCGCTACCTAGTGATATAATGTGTGATATGGTTAAACTAAAGATGGAATACGTTAAAACGTGAGACATGAAATTTAAATTTTCTACGTAAGAGGTAAAAAATTAATGACGTGCACATAATGAACATAATTTATAAATAGAAATAATATTCTAAGTTTTAATTTTTTGAACATTTTTTGAGTCGTGAGTTCTGTCTAATAGTAATATTGAGTTTAACTTTAAATTACTCCAACAAGGTCTAAGAGTATGAGTAAGACTACCCTTACTAAATCTTACTAATACTATTAGTCTTAATTTTTTAATATTATTAATATTAAATTATTTACGTATGAAGAAAAGAGTAAGTACTAATAGTATTACTATTAGTAGTAGTAGAACTACTGATCTAGTAAATTTATAATTATGTATGGTGGCAATTTAGATGACTGGGAACATTGACACTAGAACAGTTTCTTAGTTTAGCGTGTGTCTGTGGTAAAAAGCAGTGGACAAAATTGAAACACTTTTATATATGATAGGATTAGGAATCATGTAAAGCCAGTGGATGTTAACCTAACTGGGTATAATTTTTATATTAGCACCCTATTACTAGTATTGGCCTTAGTGTTACTTAAAATATGAATTAATGTTAACATTAGTACGTTTAAAAGTGTTATAAAATTATGTACATTTGTTAAAATTTTCTTGTACATTGCTGATAAATATTATGTAAATTGCAGCTATCATAGTCATACCCAGTGTCTCCTGTGTTAATATCACTGGGCATCTATCAGTCTTATTAAAAAGTGTGAACTGAAATGTGTTATCAGCTAATGTGATTTGTGCTGTAACTTTGAATTCTCTTAAAATTTTGTTAGATAGGCATGTATATATGGAGGGCTATATTTATTTATAAAATTTGATTATTTTTATTATTATTATATTCCGAATTGAAATGACCTCAATAGACCAGGTGGTCTTCTGCCATATTGCGTTCTCTATATTTCTTGTGAAGATGCTAGTATGAACACAGGAGAAATGTCTTGATGATTTTCACAGACAAACAGAACCTATAGCTATTTAAGTTTGTAGAAGCTGAAGATTTTTAAAACCTCATAAGAAGAAGTCATTTGACAATTTTTTGATTACAGACTGACAATAGTAGGTGTATTTCTACTATTGCCAACTAAAATGAATCAAGAATAAATTCAAAAATATATATTTCCAAAATATGCTTGCATCTGCTGACACTATAGCTGTTTCTCGATCTACAGGATTTCCACTCTTTGTTCATCTAAGCATTGAAAATGCTTGCTCCAGTATTTTATACCCCACTCAATGCCCTTGACAAACTCTAATTTGCAAAATTCTCCACCAACTTAAATGCAACTTCAAACTTGATAGCGTATATAAGCAGATAATGTAATCACTTTTTCTTGACAAAGTATTCATCACAGGTTTCCACAACAATATTTAATATTTATATTAAAAACCATACAAACAGGTATGAATTCCTGAGTTAATGTTTCTATTATGGAGACCAACCAGACCTCTTCCACGTCTGCTATCTGGTGTTTGTCAATGGCCAGGGGAGGGGTCACTCAATCGAAACTGTCTGTGACATGATCCATTGCGAGATGTAGACATATATACGGACCGAGGGTGTCTCTCTGAGGGGGATCCTGAGGTGGCTTTTGCAAATGACCTGGTACCATCTGGGGAGAATTTAGACTCGCTTTTTCTGGCTCCTTCTTTTACTAGGTCAGCCTTAACGGAGGATCATTTTGATCAGTTACCTACAGCACCTTTTCTTCAGTTGGTTACTCGAGTATGTGAAGTTTTGCGGGTATTTCCTATTGGATTTGACTCTATTCCTTCCTTGTTAGCAGAAAGGATGGCAAGAGACTACTTGGTTTAGTCTCCTTGTCTTGATATTGCTGTTCATGCTGGGAGATTTTCCACTCAGTTACATGATGGGATAGCTATGCTTTGTCCCCCACGTTTATTGGAAGCATACTTTGGCTTATTACTGCCAGGAGGAGGTATATGTAGATTCTCAATGGATGGACCCCTTTTGGACCTGTGCGGGATTAGATTGGAACCCCAACTGTCCTGAGGCATTTATTTTCGATCCAACTTTTGTCAGAAGCCTATCAATGTTCCCCTCAGAAATTTGAGAATGAGTATGGGATTTTGCTGATGTCTACCTCAGTCAGTCTTTTTCAGTTCATTCTCTGGTTTCCGGGCTGGTTTGTTGATGGAATTTATTGGGTAGAGATGGTTTGTTAGAAAGTGTTCATTTACCATCTTCTGCCCTCAAGGAGTTATGGGAAGCTCTTTTCCTTCTTCCCATGTTGTTCGCTGGGATTCCAGAGACATTAGAATCATGATTTGATTCAGCTCATTCACATTCTTCTTTATCATTGTTGGCTTCTTGCCTTTCTGGCGCTAATTTGGGAGTGTTGGCACGTAGTGTTTCCTGACCCAGATCTGTATTCTTGAGAATCTACGGCTCAGGCAGACCATCAACAATGGCGTCGGTAACTAATCCCTGGACAGGGGGTTAGTGGGAGCACGATTACATCACTTTCTGAACATCTGGAGTTTTTTCACCAGGAATCCATGGGTACTCAATGATCTGGCTTCAGGGTTGGTCATTCAATTTACATCACCTCCACCATTATCTGCACAACCAGTTGCCTTTTCACCTCCAATAGATCCATGCTTTTCTTAAATTTAGGACTGTAAATATACATTCTCTTCTACTCTCGTGATGGAGTTAGCCATGTGAAAGAATTGTACCAGAATTGGTAAAGCTAATGCCACATTTGGAAGACTCAGAAAACTGCTCAACAATAGAACTATGAACATCAAAATGAGAGTTGTTAGTCAAAAGGGCAGTAGAGAGGGTCAATCCAGTTCTTCGGGCGGTTTTATTCTTGTTTATTCATTGTACCCAAGAAGACAGGAGATTGATGTCCATTCATTGATCTGTCTCGACTCAACCAATTTTTAGATCCTTGCTTTACAATGGAATCTTTCTCAACCTACGATGGCAGTTTGCACCAGGACTCTGGATGACCAAGTTTTGATGTTATCGACATTTATCTCCATATTCTCATAGCGGAATCTTCTCAGAGGTTTCTCAGATTTGTGCTCAAGGGTCAGGTTCTACATCTCAGGGCTCTATTATTTGGTCTTGTGTCAGCACCTTATGTCTTCTGCAGAATTGTTTGAGCTTTTTCTAATCATCTACATTCTTTGGGCCTGTACACACATCATTATATGGATGACTGGCTTCTTCTGGCACTATCCTGTCAATTAGCAGAACAACACTCTCAGATTCTCATTTCAGAAGCCTCAAAAGTGGGCTTCCGTATCAGTCTGGAAAAACCTATTCTGTCACTGAGGCAATATCTTGTCCATCTGAGTGTTTTTCAATGCTCACTTAAGTCGTGCTCAACCAATCCCTATCAGGCTTCAAGCCATGGAAAGTGCTGTCAGGCTTTTACTTATGTCTCCTTCTACTGCATGGATGGCTCTTTTGTGGATGTGGGCATCCCTCAAACCTCTCATTCCTTTGGGATGAGCACATATGAGATCCCTTTAGTGGTCACTGTGCGACAAATGGATTATGCATTCTGATCTTTTGCATCATCCTGTTTCATTACTCAGGAGCAACATCATTGAATGGTGGTTGAATCAGAACATTCCATTCCACCACCTCGTCCGGAGATCCATCTGTTCACAGATGCATCTTTTCTGGGATGGGAAGTTTATCTTCAAGATCAGGAGTTGCAGGGTATTTGGATGGAAGACGAGTCTACCCTGCATATTAACATTCTTGAACTTCTTGCAGTACACTAGACAATGGTTCAAGGTCTGTCTCTTTTGAAGTGAATACTTGTCATGATACATTCCGACAATTCCACCATGGTATTTCAGATTTCTTGTCAATGAGGCACACATTCTTGAGACCTTTGTTTTTGTACCTTGGATCTTCTCTACTGGGCTCATTCCCATTATATCAGTCTTTTAGCATGTCATGTTCCAGGAGTGATGAATTTAATTGCAGATCACTTGTCTCGACCCAACCAGATTCTTCTGACAGGATGGATGCTACATCACGAGGGTTTTCAGTGGATTTGCTCGCATTTTGGGTCTCCAACGATCGATGCCTTTGCTAATCATTGGAATTCCCAACTACAGTTGTTCTGGTCTCTGATACCTCATCCTCAAGTGTTAGCAGTAGATGCATTCAGTCAGGACTGGAAAGGTTTTCATCTGCATGCCTTTCCCTTGATTCGACTATTGCACCAGTTTCTGACTATGGCTCGTTCCACTTCCTGTCAAGTTCTCTTGGTTTCACCATATTGGACAGCTCAAATGTGGTTTCCACTTCTTTGGTATCTGCAGCAATGTCCACTTCTACCTCTTCCACATTGGCACTATTTGTTGAGACAACCTCGATCAGACATTCTCCACCCAGATGTTCGGAAATTCAATCTTCATGCTTGGAAGTTATGTGGTCCTTTGCCTAACATAAGAGTTTAACTACTAAGGTTTCTCTGTATTTAATTAAATCTCTCCATAGGCCAACCATGGCCTTTTATCAACAGAAAGGGAATACTTATCGTCAGTGGTGTATTAAAAGGAATTTAAACCCTCTTCGTCCTAAAGTATCTACCAAATCCCATTTTATGACTTAGGTATTTGAGAGGGATCTTGTTTCTTCTACGGTAGCTTTATATTAGACATCCTTATCCACTATTTTTTGGTATTCCAAATATTGGAAGGTTTTTGAATCCTCAGTACTATCAGGTCTACTCAAATCATTTAATATTCTTTGACCCAAATGACCTTTTCAATTACCAAATTAAGATTTTACAATTGTTTTACATGCATTGCTTCATCCTCCCTTTGAGCCCTTAGCTTCGTGTTCTTTGTTTCAAATTTCTCTTAAACTTTATTTTTTGTTTTTGTTGACGTGTGGATGTCGTCAGTCGGAGTTCTTTGCAATCCATGTGCATTGAACTCTTTATCATTCCACATTTGTCCTGCTTTACCCCGATAGGTCTTTTCTTCCCAAGACTCTGGTAGCCTGGGTAGGGGAAA